TACCTTGGTCCAAAGCCCCACCGTGGCTTGCGTTACAAATAAAGTTTGGTCAGCTTGGACTGCAGTTACATACTCTGGTGCATGTGGGGGGGTTCAGGTCTGCCAACCCGAAAAGGAAAAATGTCCAAGCAACCTCACTTGTTGTTTCTACATACAGAGTACAAGCCGTCGTTGAGCTATGACTCTTCGGCACTTTACTCGACTCCGTGCCATTGATAGGAATTTTCGCTTTTGGCCATGCACCGCTGTACAATGACATGCAATGACATCGCCTTTTTGCACCGGCGACAACACTAAAACACCTTAGCTTGTCCATCGCCTTCTCCATGGAATCAAGGTTTACGATAGCCATCCGGTAATTCCTTTTTGTTCTAACCATACATATGCACATCTTTAGCTGACTCGGCAGATGGTACCTTGAACCCTGACTCGCCAGCCGGTCAGGGGTCTCAACGAACAATCACAGAAGCATGTGCTTACTTACGGCATCACCGTACACCATAACTCTTCTTTGGTCTTATTATAACAAAATGTATCGCTTGGAACCGGTTCTTCAGGTCGGGTAATTATTCCGACCTACCAGTAAGGCCTCCGATCCAGGTCCGGGACCTGAGCTGAGGTCGCAGTTGTGCCCAAGTCCTAGAAGTCGCTCCTATTACTGTATTTGGCATAGCCCATTCATATAGCTAGCCCAGTGCCTATGTCGACTTATAGGCCCCACAACACCATAATTCTCACTCGGAACATGGTTTTCCATCTCCGTTCTCCAATTGCTATAGTCGACATTCCAATCTGCTCGCCCCATAAGCAAGGCGGAAACTTTCGCAACAGCAAAAAGTAAAAAAGAAAATCTTACAGTAATGTTTTCGGAACGCACTGCTTTCAGCAGGCCAGTCAAGAAAATTCGCAAACATTAGTAGTGTGATCACTATCGTAACCACCGATCTACAACAAACAAGGAAATAAGATGCGGGGTTTCACTAGTTTGTAGTCACCCTCCTTTGGCTTGGCATCTCGATCGGCAGAACCGGCTCTTTAATACCGGGCGTTGATCCCTATGGCCGCTCGTTTTTAAAATGCATCGCGAGTCAAAAAGGAAGTACATCCGTCCTGCGACAGGAGGCCGCCGGTGTAATTCCTGAGGCCAAAGGAGAAGCCAAAATACAGTGCATAAAATAAGATTCAATAAAATGCGGTCAGACAACATCTACAGAATAGGCAGAAGTGACATTCCCAACATTGTGGATCGTCCCAAGGGTGTCCGCACATAGAGTGTTCGGCCAATACTTAGAGCGAGCCCACAAGGGGGGAGGGACCCCTCGCATAACAAAGTTAATGCAGGGCCACGACGACTCCGACGACGCCGATGGCCGTGATGGAAAAGATGCATGCAGAATCTTAGTGCATGTATGAGTTTGTGTGTATGTAGTACAAGATAGTACTACTGGCAACTTGCGACGGGCCCCACAAACGCATCACAACTCCAAACGTGCAAGGACGCAAAATAAGCATAAGGGAAGGGGGGGGGGTGTGGAAGGGATAGGCACAGAAAATGTCCGAGAACGAATACGGTCGGCAAAAGAATGAGTGGGGTTCGAGTGTGTTCGCACATCAAGATCATGCAACCTTCGTAAGTTGCTGAGGTAAGTATGACCAAGCATTGTTGCACTTTTTTGTTATCCAATGTACTGGGTGGCATGTGAATGACTCTGTCCGTTACATGGAATGTTATTTGTATCTCACCGCCGGTGAGAGCGGTAGTATAACAGCGAAATGCATAATGTACTCTCTCTGCGTCGGTGGAGCACAGCAAGGTCATCACACCAATATCACGCGAATGCGGTCGCGTATGACGCCGAATGTGTTTAAAAGAAGAGCGTATGGACGGACGTGTGTTCGTTTGCAAAGTGAAAATGATAGTGCTCAAGGCAAGAAGAAACGGCAGTTGTCGTCCTGTCAGCTTTTCCCACGCTACGATTCAGCAGTTTTTTGGTCCGGCGATAACAAAACTTGGTCCACTGGAAAGGGCGAGCGAGGCGATCAGTCTCTCCTGATGGAAAAGGACCTACTATGAGGCAAACGAGAAAAAAGGAGTGGGGAGGAGGCAAACTTCTCAGTTCATTGTGGCAAAACTTGAACGATAGGCCAGGAAAGCTTCAGACACCCTCTGTGATACTATGATGGCTACTCAGCTCAGAAAGGCACTCTGACTCAGTAGTATCGAGAATGACACTGATGCCTATGTACGTATCACAACCACAGCAGTCTTAGTGCACATGTGTCATGTAGTGTACACCTCCTACTCGTTTTTCTAGAAGCCCTCCCTCCCCCTATGTTGTCACTAACTCCCCCTCTCTCTCATCGCCCCCCTAACTAAAGTACTAGCACAACGTCCGACTAGCAACTACACACACTAGCCAGCCCGGCACTCGCACTCGCCACTAAACGGCTTATTTCCATTTACAAGGCGCACAGCCACTAGAAGGTACATGTCACTGCAAGGCTTATACTACTTTACTCGCTACGCTACCGCTACGGTCTCTCGCTCGGATAACGCTTCCTCCACACGCTATTCGATACTACACGGCGTATCCCGCCTCAGCGTGCAAAGCGGTAACAGTACGACAGCGCGCTTGCGGTGATGGCGGTTGGATTGGGCTGGCGGGGGTGATGGATGACTCGATTGGCGAATGTATGCGAGGAGATGGATGGATTGGGGGAGGTTAAGGAGGTTAGTGGGTGTTGGATTATGGATTCTAAGAGTAGCTTGAGTCGGAAGGTGTTTGGTGTGTGTGCTTTTTTCTGTCTGGGAGTTTTTTTTTCTTTTTTACGAGAGGGAAAGGGGGGAGAACAGAGAAAAAGTAAAGGGATATATGTATGTATAGTTACAAATGATTAACGTCTTATCTAAAAGCCTCCCTTGGGGCATGCTGACGGGTAAAGCCCAGGACTTACGGTGGTGGCGCATTGCCTTGTTTCGCCCATTTGTGGGGAGTGTCGTATGAAGCACGGTGGTTCCTGTGACAGACGCTCTGCGGGCTGAAGCGAAGGGATAGTAGATAATCTATCAATGGCAGTGTGATTCGTCTTCATTGTATGTATACACAGATATATATATATATTCATGATACATATATTGTTGCGAATCTATGTTCACTCTTTTCCATACAGTAGACAAAGTAATACTCTGTAACTGGATCAGTTGCAGAACTACCGCTTGTGCATGCACAAATATGTGTATATGCGTGTCACCCAGTAGCACAAATCCGAAACCTATCTTGTCCTCTACCAAAAAAAACAATCTCGTCCTGTCTAAAAGCCTTTTTTCTCCCACAATCCCTCGTTTCCCACTTGTCATATCGCAGGAACCAACGTCGTAGACAGTTACAGTCCTCGTTTTTTGAAGAATCAAGCGGCTTCCCCTCCTCTTTTCTCTAAGCTACGCACGTCGAGACTGTGACCTCAGGACGGAAATATATGAGACATGTCGCATGTTGCTTGTCCCCCTTCGTATTCCTCTAACAGACCCCGTTATTTTCTCCTACCCTGAACCAACCCCGTCCACATCTATAACCCTAGAACTATGCCTTCGACTCCTGCGTCTCGTACAAACGCTGGCATGAAAAAAAAAACCAAGGCTTTCGTATCATATTCCAGCCCCTTCACCTTTGTGATACCACGCAAAAAAAAAATCAAGCCAGATAATCGTGTAGGCTCGCTGTGTCTTACAAATTCATCATGACACTTTGCTCAGCCGAACCAAACTGCTTGATTCAACTTCGTCAATACAATCGTTTGATGAATTGTCTATTGTGCATCAAGATAACACTTACCAAGCGCCCCTTCGTTATCACGTCTTTTGTGATTGAGCTGTTGTGTACAGAGCTTAGCATACAAGTATATCTTATCCGAGTTACCGCCTCCTACAGGGAGCAAATCTTCGAACTCAGACGTCCCCCAAATTGCCCTTTCCAACAGCTATTTTCTTCAATGATGTGATGAGCTGCCTTGGCATTGTTTTCTATAATGTGGTACAACATATACAGTGGTTGTTAGTGTTGAGACGTGGACTCGTTGTGATGGCAGGTTTATCGTTGTGTGAGTTAACAGAATCGTCAACAATCAATCTGGATTACCAATCCAATTCAACCTGGCTTTTTTTGGGGGGAGACAGCTATCATTTCAATTCAATCTGGATCTACAGATTGGGTTAGATTGGTTGTTGACAACTTTGCTCTGCGTTAAGGACGATACTCACTGACTAAATTTATGGGTATAGAATCAGGAAACGGACCGAAGGACATGGCTAGTTGGGTATACAATGGTGGCTAGGATTGTAGGGATGAGGGGGTAGGGTATGTATGCACTCAATAACTTTAGTATAACTGTATATGCTGTTGTGCCTTGAAAAAGGCCTAGTCCCCCCCTTTTCTAATGCTGGTAGCAAGTAGTATCTCCGCGGGCAAAGAATCGGCACTATTATCCAGGTGATATCCGCCTGAGTAAAGAATCGGTACGACTACTGATGTTTTGGTTTCAAAGACACCACGTAAGTTTAAACGCTGAAATCCATGCTTGTTGAACGCCTGGCGGTGAGGAACTCGGACTTGAACATAGCAAGTGTGTGTTTGACTGGCGATAGGAGGTTATTCTATTCTTAGAAACAAAAAAGGGAGAATCGAATGATATAAGCGCTAAATCTATCAATGGGATAGTTTCGGCTGACGTAGTCGGCTACGGAGTTCTTCTTTCCTAGACTGAAGGAGAAAATGGGACTGAATATCTTTGTTGAAGGGGGGTGGATAAGGGTCAGTCTAGGGAAGTACATATGGAAATCGATGTCGAATATGCGCAGTGTATAGATTAATCTGATCACCTCACAAGTACTCAAAAATTACGAAGCAGTAGAGTTCTATGATGAATGTTTGGAACTAAATATGCGTTAACTCCAGAATGGGACCACGCATAGGATTCGAAGAACTGATTGTCACACACAACTTGACAGTGCTCACCAAGCACTTTTGAAAGTGTCTCCTTTGTGCCCAAGCTATTCTGCGCTAAACTTAGCCTGCGGGTATACAGTATATTTATACAAGCTATTCTAGTACAGGTAGCGGTTATCCAATGCAAAGATCATCTGAACCACCATTATCAAAAGCTCGTTTTCTCTGTATCAATGCCTAGAACCAGGACAAAAAAAGGCTTGATCTTTGATGATATCTCTAAAAGTCACATACGTGAGCAAAAAGCTAAATGATCGAGCTCAACTTGCTCGCTCAAGGTCCAAATCCACAAGCCACGGTCCGTTCCATGGATCATTCCGAACATTCATGATGCTAGCATTGACCATCAAAGTCTCCTTTCCAAACTCGACTGCAGTGCTGCTTCCCTGGCTAATATCCACAGTCGCTGCCCTCTCGTTTGCGGTCTTCCCACTATCAACATGTATGGTATCAGCTCTTTGGATACACTGTTCAGGCTTCACGTCCAGTTCGCCGTTATTCCACAGCACCTTCTGTGCACCCCACCCTTCATGTATGTGCCCAAAGCAATGTAAACGTGGCCTACAGCGTCTAGCAGCCCGTAGGAGGTGTTGGCAGCCGACTAGCTCGCCGGTTCGCGTTACGTCCAAGACACCAAAAGGTGGTCCATGGGTCATCATGACATCGATGTTGGGGAAGCCAGGAATGGGGTTGTCGGCGATAGGTTTGGTATTTGGGGTGCATTGGTGGGACGGATTGTAACGATCTTCATCTCGATTGTAAGGAAATGCCCAACCGCAAAACTCCGGCTGATAGGGAGATGCATAGACCTTGGTAATGATGTCAGCTTTTGCAAGCGAGTCCGGACATGGTAAATAGGCGGTTTACCCGCAGATTTGCTCCATTTTCCAACTGGAATATATGTACTCCCTCATCGAGATAAGTCACACCTGCCTGTTTGGCTCGCTCACCAGTCCACAACTCCTTTGCTTTAGCCGATATTTCTTGGTCATACTGTCTCCCATGCATAAATCTGCCTTTTTTGCCATAGTAGTCCGCGTCTAGAGTAATGTCATGGTTACCAGCAATGACAAGCTTCAGACCAGCATCGATACCCTCCAGCATGTCCAAGGTTTTCTCATACTCTGTCAAGTGGCCAACCATGGTCAAGTCGCCGCAGTGGAGAAGCACATCGGCTTTGGGGAGCGGTGGACGAAAGGCTGTGCCATTGTTGGTGGTATTCTGCGATGGAGTGGCAGAGTGGGTATCGGAGATGATAAGAAAGCGAGTTTTTATGTGAGCTGGTGCTAAAGATGTGAGTGTAGTCGACATGGTGGAGAAGAGCCTGGAACCTGGGGGATCCAAGGTCTGGCGAGGGTTGGCGCGGGGTTGCGATGCAATAGCCTCGAGAAGACGTACGTAGGCATCAACATCCAACCCACTTTGCGTACCCTACTAAGGTAGCAACATTACTTTTACTGCGCAAACCATGGCTGAACACGACTGAATACCCGACTCTCTTTTTTTCATGGCCGAGGAAAATACGGAGTTGACTGTTTGCGTTCAAGTTCCTGACACAGTTATGCAATAGCCATTTTGTTAGCGACGAGCTACACAATTGCCAGGACGGCTAAAGCAGACATAGCCAAGCAAAAGATTAATAGTGCGAGAGCAACAAGACGAGATGCACAGTTCACAGGGATTGGGATTGCCATGAGTCTTGGTGCCTAGTCATCCTAGCTTTGGGCCTAAAAGTTTACCCGATCGGGTTGCGTCGGACCAGTATCACGCCATTTTCACCAACTGCCCAGCCGTCCCGTCAACCAAGCTGACAACATCCACACCTACAGATAGCGGAGAATCTTAACGACGTAAATATCCAATCCACTTCCCTTACAATGCCCGGGCTATTTCCAGTCCCTGCAACTGACAGCTACGGAAACACCCGCTGACACCCACAGCCCTCCATGTGGCGCCACAATGAGCGTCCCCAATATGCGCCTAGCCGCTTCCACGCGACGCAAAACCGTGACATCACAGGGTGTTGGTGAATTTTCCTTCTGCATTTGCACGAGCAATTCTTACCAAACAATTGCTAGTTTGGACGTTCCCGTGACTAATAAGAGAAGACTAGGCACGACTCGTCCTATACTTACTATCATGTAGCAGCCGTTTGCGCATAGATGCTCACAGGGGTAAGCGACATCTGACGAACAAACCACGTACCATGGCTTAGCAACCTTGAAAAGGTTGTTGCTATGCGCCGCGAAATCACAATTCGGCCGTGAGAGCTGCCGATGTCCTTCAATTGGGCTCCGCAGCAGCTACTACTACTGCTGCTGCTGCTGCACCACATTCAAAGAACTGCGCCTCGAACGCCATGACCAGCTGTTGAACTATTTGTCTAGGAAAATGTTTCATCCTTGCGACGTGAATCAGTGGTTCCGGCACCTCGGTCTCGGAGGACTCGCGGAACACGACTCTTGTCCGGTTCAGTGGAGCGTTGGGCCAGCACAGCACGAGATGCTCTTGTTACCGGGCAATGCCGATGAGGTGCTCATCATTCGACATGTGCGTCTATTCCAAAATCTGGATGTTCGAATGCACTGTACAGGCTTTACGAATCATCAATGGAGCAGCCGACTTTTACTGGGCATGCCTGCGATGATTAATTGAAGGATGGATCCACAAGTACCTTGCGATTTTGGGATTACCCTACAGCTGCTCGAAGCGTCCGCACTTGACTGAACCATTACGCCGGAAATTGATTGGCCTACGACCTGAATTTCAGGCAGGTCACAAGCTACAATTACCCACCTCATTGGCTGTGCCGTTCTCGAATCGTCGATACAATTACGTTCTCGTATCTTTCTCTTAATAAACGCTTGGTTATGCCGACCCGACTGTGACTGTCATAGCTCGTTAATCCTTCAATCCCGGATAGTCACTGCTTACCACATACGCTATTTTCGAATACCCACCACACCATCAATCAATCTCGACTTCATTAAGCTGATGAATACCCCCAGAAATACGAGAGGGTCCAATACCGGAGACACTCCGCCAGCAGATAACATGCCATACTCGAATTATTTTGACAATCCATATCTCAGCGATGTCTTCGATCCAGGTCCCGACTACACATTGAACACGTTCTTCGACTCGGACAACTTCTTCAGTCAACCGACCACATCTATCGAGGGCGCTTCGAATACCCAACCCAAATCCCAAAGGACAGCAGCCTCAAAGTTGCCGGCGACTATACCGCCATCCTCGAGCCATCAACAGCCCTACCCGCAAACTTATAATCAACCACAATTTGGGCAATTCGAACAATATAGGGGTGATTTCTCAATACATCCCACACCACCACAAGCCGGCGAGCAAGATTCCTTCTCTCCTATAACAACTGCAACGACATTACATTCCTCAACACAATCAAGCGACGCACCACACCAAGCCGTCTCCCCGTCGCTAAGTCCCCATACGCTAAAGCGCGAATCACCATCGTCGCCTGCATCAGCGTCGGAGTCTTCGACACCGAAACGACCAACCAGGAAGCGGGGTCGCCCCAGGATGAGCCGCAGTAGTATCGACAGCCAATTTGCTGCAACATCGCCTACTCTAAAAAGCCAGACTTCAAGGCGCCAGCCGCACAATCAGGTCGAACGCAAGTACCGTGAGGGGCTCAACTCGGAGCTCGAAAGATTACGGAGAGCGGTGCCTTTGCTTCGGCAAAATGACGGAACAAGTGCAATTGGACAACCGAAACCGAGCAAAGCGACGATTTTAGCAACCGCAATTGATTACATCCAGGCGATTGAGAAAGAGAGGGATGCGCTAAAGGCAGAGGTCGAGCAATTACGGCGAGATCAAGTGGGCATGCTGCGGAATCCAGATGGGAGAAATCCGTCTCTGGATGAATATCTCATGGATTCATAGTCTGGTACAAGAGAAGGAAGATCGAATCAAAAGAGAGAAAATGAAAGGTTTTTCTTCTTGCGAAGCCATATCACAGAATTGTAAAAAAAGAACAGACAACGAGAAGGGGGCAAATGGAGTTTTTTCTTTCCTACCGGAGTTAAGGGGAACACTTACTACACACGCTCATATGGGGAGACTGAGCATGTACTTACTGGATTATTTTCTCCTCCATCTTTCTCGCATTTCTAGCTGGGCGTACCAGGCCTCGACCTATTCTTTTTTTAACCCTAGATTCTTGCGCACGTATAGACTATATATAACGACCCGTTACGACAGCATAGGCAGATTTAATCTAAGGAGTTTTATCGACTTGTAAAATTTCATGGATGGTAGGAGGCGAGAAGGAGAGAGAGAGAAACAAAGTTTGGTCTTCGCCTAAGAACGAACCTTTGGTTCGCTGCATGATTCATCATGGTACAGGATCCGACTATTTATTAAGAAAGATGATCGCTATATAGCTCCTATACTAATGTTTATTAATACCTCTCTTTGCTCTAGCGCAAAGCCTCCCCCAGATATTCTCCTAGCATTTTACTTACCCCGCCTTTGTGTTTTTTTTTGGCGTGATGCGCGCCCCACCACACCCGTCAGATCAATGAAAATAATTTTCGCAAGACACAGCGCTATTCATCATACTTTCGAATTCTTAGTTTTTCTCATGGCTGAAAACAAAAAGATAATATCATGAAAATAATTTTTCAACTCCTCATCAATCGCCCGGCTAGCTCAATCGGTAGAGCGTGAGACTCTTAGTTATCACGTCCTCACAGACACGATTGTTTCAAATCTCAAGGTTGTGGGTTCGACCCCCACGTCGGGCTTTTTTTGTTTCGTTTTGTGCTATGCTGTCTTGTTTCTTACTTGCTTAACTACTCTCCTTTCCCATGCTGTTTCTTGCTCATCCCTCTTTTTAGTATCCTCTTCCCAATACATTACATAACGGGAATCTTTTTGTGTTTGCATGATGTACTTTGGCGCCAGTGCTTGTTGTATAGAACAGCGAGATAGGGAAAATGAAAGAAGGGGAGGCAATGTAATATCTGTTTGCTCGCTTTGGAAACGAAGAAAGGGAAAGAAGGTGCAAGTAAGGGCATGCTCCTTATTTCTTTCCCCCCTCCGCCCATACACTATTGTCGTTTGCTTTCTCTGTTCTTCTTTTAGTACCCAGACTCCTATACTCATGACATGAAAATTGATGCAAATGCTAAAAGGCTACGATAGTTTTACACGCACCACACATGGGCACAAATATTTACAAGCGACAAAACGAGACAACGTCCCCAGCTAAACTCTGTAGCACCAGGAGTGGACAACGCAGTATCAAAAAGAAGACCACAAGGGGTTTAAAACTGATCATGTAATGTTCGACACTCTTGCCTGAACCTGACATTACTCTGAAACCCTACTTCGTTTTCGCATACACAGCTGCGATGTTCGGGAATTATACTATAGCTTCCTCCGCTTGCTGGCCGTGGGCGGATCCTCTTCCTCGGCGGCAGGGGTGCCCTCATTACCCGCCTTGCCGCTATCCCTCTCGACGTCTCTCCATGTGCTGACGAGCCCCTGAACAGTCTGGAACATGTCTCTCGCATCGTTAACCACACCTTCTTCCCCGGGGTTGAACATAACGGCATTGACGAACATGCGCATGAGTTCTTTTTCAAGCTGCGCCGCGTTGACAATGGCTTTTGGAGGTACGTTGTCTGCTGTAAAGGGAAGCTCAACGAGACCTCCGGTTGCACCGCCAGGACTAGCAGTTGGGTTTTCCGACGCCGCTGCAGCAGCGGCAACCTGCTTTGAGCCTGCTGCGATGGCTTTCTTTATGGAAGACAAATCTGTCGGGCGCTTGATAATGTCGTAGTAGCCTTCTGCGTCCTTGGCGCGAACTGCAGTATTGAATGTAGATGCGTGCTTGTGAGAATTGATGTCGTACATCATAGGGGCTGTCGTGCGTGCAAAATTACGTGGTGCTATGATAGATCGTGGAGGACCAGGCGTGCCAAATGAAGCGTCTTCGGCCTCAAGGGAAGCTTCGCGGGCATTGCGTTTTCGACGCGTTGAAAGTGACGACATTGCGGCTGCTCCTCGACGTCGGGTAGACATATGTGACGGTGTTTCGGCAGTAGCTTCTTCGTCAATAGCCTCGACAGAGGTTCCTCGCTCCGACTTGATCCTATTGCCAGTTTGCGACTCATTGTCTGCCGCTACCGTATCGGTATGAGAGAGAATTGACTGACTTCTGCTTCGGTCTCGCACAGAACCACCAGCTCTTGAAGATGCAATGCTTCCGGGTCTTGTTCGCCTTGCCGGTGCTTTTCGTCGCGAACGCCCAGATCGAGTTTCGGGCTCCGCCAAAGATTCTTCCTCGTGGTCGTTGATTAGCTTGGAATTTTGCGGGGTTTCGGCGTCTGGTACGGAATCCTGGTCTGGATCTTTTCCTTTGCCCTTTGCCCTGGACTTGCGCTGTGACTTGGTTTTAGCGGGACTCTGATTCGAGCGGACTAGGGGCGGCACATCATCGAGTGGCTCCACCTCTGGACGTGGGCTTGAAGAAGTAGACTGTGTCCCATTGAAACTAGATCGCTTCCATAAACTCTTTGCAGACACGGGAGTTCCCATAGAACTTTGTGGAGAGTGCGCGGCAGAAGGTGTCGTGAGTGATTGTCTCGCCTGAGTGACGAGAGGATGGATTGGCGGCGCGCCTGCTCTGCCAGTGCCGGGCGTTTGCAAACTCGTGCGTGACGGCTGTCGGTTGTTCGTAGGTGTCGAGGCTTGGGGGTGCGGCGGCACAGCTGCTTGGTGATGGACACGCGATGGATCCTGTGGGGCTACCTGGAAGGGTGGAAGCATGAAGCCTGCTTGGGGTGGTGGGTGTGGCATTTGGGGTTGTAAAGGAGGGTACGGTTGGTGTCCAGGATGGGGGTATGGCGCCCTCTGCTGTCCAGGGTGTAGACCTGGCGAGTGAGATCCCGGAGGTTGCTGGTTCGGGAACTGCTGGTGCGGTGGGTGGTATTGTGGATGCGCTCCTGGAGTGGCATACTGAGGTATTCCATTTCCGCCATAGTTCTGGGCTGGCGACGGCTGGTACTGCAGTCCTGGCGACCCTACCGCTGGGGATAGGTGGCCGGCATGGTCGTGTGGACCAGGCTGATGCTGTGTATTTTGAGGTGTCTGTGCCTGAGGAAAGGGGGTGATGTTTGGATATTGAGTGCTGTTGTATGCTGCGTGATGCGGCGCAGGCTGGGCTTGATGTGCTGTTGGCGGAGGCGGCGTCGGGTGCGATTGTGGCGTAGAAGGCTGCCTCTTGGACTGAGATGGCGATTGCTGTCCATTTTGAGCAGGCGCAGCTCGCGGAGACTCGAGACCAGACGGCTGGGTGGAATCTGGAGAAGGCGCAATGGAAGGACCGCGTCGCGCACCATTCTGAGCCGACTGGGGGCTTTGGCTCGGCTGCAAAGGCTTCTGTGCCAGATGAGGTGACTTCCGGGGCAAGGCAGGGCTTCGCAAGGCAGATGTTTGTCCGTTGGCCTTGTCTCTAAGTTGGTCGTCCCACTCTCCACGCTCGATGCTCTTCAGTTCGCGTTGCAGTCGCTCATATCTATCCTCCTCGGCCCTGATCTGTTCGGCAATCTCGTAGCGGTATGAGGCATAGAGCTTGGTGACGAGCTTGGGGATCAAGTGTTGGTGCTGGAGGGATTCCTGGACGGTGGGCAGGCTTGGGCTCTGTCTCTTTCGCTTGGTCGGGCTCGCGACATCGCCGTTGTGGGAGTCGCTGTCGGTGGCTTGCTCATGCTCGAGCTCTCTCTTCAGGCGCTCGAGGTAGAAGTTGCGCAGGGCATCGGGGCTGAGGCGGCCGGCCTGGAAGTACTTGTGGGTGGTGATGTCCGGGTTCTTCTTCAGCAGGTCGGAGATGCGGGCGAAGACGGAGGGGCCGACGCCATAGGCATGGAGGCACTGGAACAGCAGGAGCGACTCGAGGTTGGTGTAGGCAGAGACGCTAGTCGTCATCCCCCAGGCGTCTGCAGCGCGAGGGCGATGGGTGTGGGGTGGGATGGGAGCCACGGCGACGAGGGAAGAGGGCGTCTAGCGGAGGCAGACGGGCATCGCACGCGACTGGGGGGCGGCGGAGGGCGATGGGCGCGTCGGGCGGCGAGGCGAAGGCAGAGGCAGATGGGCTGGGCGGCTGGTGTGATGAGGAAATTATTCTTCGCAAGAGCTTCGTCGGCGCTGCCTCTCGCACGGCAGCAGCAGAGCAGCCCAGCCCAGCCGACACCCAATCCAATCGCTGGCCCTGGCGGCGCGCCAATCACACGCGTCCACCGCCACACCACCGCTCCAGCCTCGCCCTGTGGCGCTGCGCGGGCGCGGGGCTTCGACTGCCACACTGTGGCGCACGCCGGCCTGCCGCCAGGCGTGTGACGTGCAGCCTGCCACCCTCCCCGTATCTCAACCGTCGTCGCCGTCGCCATCGCCTGTCCGCGTCTGCGGCGCGAGCACACGGTTCTAGCGCCAATTGCTTCCCACGGGCGCCGTCTCTAGGTTCTTATTGTTTCTTATTTCTTTCGTCGGGCTCGGACGCGGCGGCGCATCTTCAAGCCCTCGTTCCCAAGCTCCACTACTGATCTACGCCCCCCAATTAGTCCGGAGCATGGGCGTCCCCTATTTCCCCTACATACTACTTACATTGCAATCGCCCTGCGGTCTCTATTCCAGGGGTGCCATATTATGCTTTCTTTCTCCTCTACCAGGCGCTGCATGAAACAAGTCTGACGATTGAGCCCTTTGCCTGCTTGTTCTACTACCACCGTCCCCTTGCACTAGCCCATAAATACATCCCCTCGTTCCCTCGTCAGCCCCGACCTTCTCCAGAACCGCTCCCGCACCGCGCATACTACACACCGTCCGCCTACTGCTCATCATGGCTTCTTCATACTCTGCACAGCCCGCCACCATGGACGATCCCGACCATGGCTGGAAGCCGAACAAACGTCCTCAATCGTGAGCTCCCCCGGCGCTAGCATAGCTCCCCGCCTATTCTGATCATGCCTGCAGCACCATAGCGCGCAACTTCATGACCGAGCTCGACAGCCTGTTCAAGTTGGACGGCGGCATCGAGGACCTCGACCGGACAGTGCACGAAAAGTAAACCCTCCTCTCTCTCGCCATCGCTGGCAGCCCACTGACCCCCGCCCAGGAAGGCAGCTGTCAGCACCCAGACCAAGGAACTCGAGGCCCTCGAAGCAAGGCTGCGCGCTGCTGAAGAGCGTCTCAACCAAGCAAAGGGCAACTCCCCACCAGCCAAGAGCGGCACCCAGCAAACCACCCAGAGAGACGAGGCACAACCACAGGCGCCCGAGAGCCCTCTTGCGCAAAAGACGCCAAACATGCCAGGTGCGATTCCACAAATACCGACCCCTTCATCGACCACCAGCGCTGACTATGTCCTCGTAGAGAGGCCATCTTCTGCCAAGCCTGAGGCCGCATAGCTACACTCCCTTTGATGATGATACCACGATACCCAGGCACTGCGTCCACCTTCATCATACACTTTGGCCTCTGCAATCATGAGTCCGCATCTCGGACAGGGGCATAACCTTTATAATTAACAGAGGCTTTTTTATCTCTTTCTTTTCAACTCGGGCGACTTTTTGTTCTTTCTCACTCGCCGAGGGAGGCTCTTCTAGTGCAGGATATGTCTCGCTTTGGATTATCTAGCTGGAAAATGCTATACACAGTCCATATTTTGAACGCTTTTTCGTATCTTTGGTGGTGGTGTCTCTTTCCGTGGTTGTAATTACTTACCATGGACTCACTAAATCTGCAGCGTGCACGGGCCGACTATGCCTCGTACCTGTCATCTTAGAGCTCACCGACAATCTCCGAGTCATCAACTTTTCAGGCACTTCCACATTTGCAACATGGTAGATTACTCGGAAGCAGGCCTCGTGGAAACGTTTGACAAACTCGCCAGTGAGGGCGCCATTGTATTCGGCCCTCACAAAATTGTGTCGGTGGAGGATAACGGCTATCCGGTGCGCAGGTATACAACCACAAGCCAGGCGCTTCGCTCATGATTGCTCAGCTCGAGTTCCGCATTTGCCCAGCACTAGCAACAAAACCACATACAGTCGGCGCCACAAATCATGGCTTCAATAAGGCGCGGAAATGGGGGCCAGGCAGCGACATGTTCTGCCCTGACGAACGACTTATCATCACTCAGCTGAACGACACGCATGATTTGGCGCTAAACCTGTTTTGTGTCGACCGGCCACAACTCCTCATGTTAACACTTGACTCGTACAAGCGTCAGCATGAGGCCTTGGATATGGATGACTTTGTTGTCATGCTTCAAGTGTTGCGTCAATTCCCGAGCATGTATGCCATTTTCAACTGCGGTGAGAAGGGTGGCTGTAGCAGGGTGCACAAGCATCTCCAGGGCTTAAAGGGGCCGCCGCATGCTTTCGACTACCTCATTTCAGCTATCAGCAGAAAAGAGAACAAAGTTCCTTTTCGGTACTTCGTTCATCACTTCGACGAGGGGTTCAAAAAGACCTCAGCCTCAGCTGTTCTGTCAGTCTATACCACACTCCTCACTCAGTGCCAGTCAGCGCCCGATACTAAAGAAGAAAATGCACCTCCGCATAATGTAGCCATGTGGGCTGACCACCTAATTGTTATTCCGCGTCGGAGTGGCAGTACAGAGGGTGCAAGTGCGAACACGGGGGGTATGCTGGGGAGTGTTTGGGTGACGAGCCAGGAACAAGTCGACGAATGGCTCAGAATCGGCTGCGCAAACGTGCTTAGGGAACTGGGTGTGCCTTCTTAGGAGGAGCAAACGTCAGACATATCGGTCGTCTGCACCTGTCGCCCTCAACCAGGCTAGTTATAATGCGCATGTCTATCTACTACTGGGCGGCCGTTTTCCAATGATCTCCTTCCCGTTTCAGCTCATCGCTTCGAAGCAGGTATGTCCTTGCTACACTGTATTGGGTCGACTAGCTACCCATCATGACAAGATCACGTCTTCCAGCTACGCGTGCCTTGATTTGCCCTATCGCATAGCCAAGACTAGCCATTATGCTCTCCGAGATTTTCGAGCCCTACACCTGCCTAACCCGGTAAGCACACACGACTCCGGACCAATCATCTTGTTCGCGCCCACGTCTCTCTACCAGCACGCCAAGTGATTCCATAAATTAACCCTCCATCCATGGCGCAGGCGTTTGCTCCGACCTCCTTCGAATGACCATCTCCCGCGCTTGTAGGGCCTATCTTGGGCTTATTCGAGTGCACATCTCCCGTTCGTGCAGACGACTACCACGAAACTGGGGTACCTGCCTATTCCATACAACTTCGACTAAGATACAGGGACATACCGGTGATGCTACTTGACAGGAAGGTGGATCGTAACCAGGTACGACTATGGGGAAGCATAAAAAGCAGCGCTCCCCACGTCCTATACAATGCTGCACCTTACTTCTACATAGTCAGTGTCTCCATATCTCATCATGAAGACTACTATCTTTACCTCCGCTCTTCTCCTCGGCTCCACTGCCTTGGGCAGCGCTGTCCCAACCGCTGGCAAGAAGGTCGACTACAATGGCTTCAAGGTCCTGCGCGTTTCTAGCACCGACGCTGTCAAGAGTCAAATTGAGAACTTGGCTGCCCACATCCTCAACCCTGGCAAGTCTGCCGAGATGGATGTAGTTGTTGCACCCGAAAACGTCGCCGCATTGACTGCATTGGTTTCTGAGAGCAAGGTGATCAATGAGGATGTCGGTGCTGCCCTCAAGGAAGAAGGCGAGATGGGAATCTATGCTGGTTTGTAATTCGCTCAGTATTTTTAAGGTTACACACTCACCGAATATAGTTCCCAGCGAGTCGTGGTTCACAGCATACCACCCATATGCCGATCATCTTCAGTTCCTCCGCGATCTGCAAGCCGGCTACACTAGCAATTCTGAGATTGTGACCCTTGGTAATTCAGTCCAAGGACGTACCTTGACTGGTATCCACATCTGGGGCAGTGGCGGCAAGGGATCCAAGCCTGCTGTCATTATCCATGGAAACGTTCACGCGCGAGAGTGGATCACTTCCATGACCACTGAGTAAGCCACCCTGCCATGAGATTGTTATTGGACAAAGAAACTAATTTTCACTTCAGGTACTTCGCGTGGCAACTTCTGACCAAGTACGCCTCCGACTCAAGCATCAAGGCTCTTGTCGACAAGTTTGACTTCTACATCACCCCCATTGTCAACCCCGACGGATTCGTCTACTCACAGACCACGGACCGTCTCTGGCGCAAGAACCGTCAGACTGTCAGCACCAGTACATGTGTTGGCCGCGATATCAACCGTAAGGCACCATAGAAAAATTACTGTCAACGTGCTAACATTATATCAAAGGCAACTGGCCATACAAGTGGGAGCTAACTGGCGGAGCCTCCACCAGCCCTTGCTCAGAAACCTACAAGGGTCTCGCAGCCGGAGACGCTCCCGAGCTCAGGGCCATCAAAGCCCAAGTTGATGCTCTCAAGGCCTCTCGCGGAATCAGCCTTTACCTCGACGTGCAGTATGTTCCCCCTTCCATCCCCATTCTCCCCTTCCCAAACCAAAGCTAACCACCTCACTCTAGCTCCTACGGTCAATACATCCTCTGGCCCTACGGCTACAACTGCAGTGCCCGCCCCGAAAACGACGCTCAGCACCGCAATCTCGCGTCCCGCGCTCAATCCGCCATCCGCGCTGTCTCGGGAACTGCCTACACCATTGGCCCCAGCTGCTCTACTCTCTACGCCACCACTGGTTCTTCCACTGATTACACTGATGTTGAGGGTAATGCTACTTACTCGTACACTTATGAGCTAAGGGATACCGGTACATACGGATTCTCGCTCCCTGCCAACCAGATTCGTCCCACTGTTTTGGAGACTTGGGCTGGTGTTGCTAGCATGCTCCGCGATGCTTAGATGATGGAGATGTGAGTTAGGTGGAGGATATTTTTGTACATACTTTTGACTTGGTGACTGAACATAATGATGATGATGAAAGTTACGAATATTTTTATCACTACTACATGCATACCTTTTCGGGATTTTCTACTAAGTCACGTGCTATGATGTTTGTTTGTTTACACTACTCGTTTTCGTATTGTGCCTCTTTTCTTTTTCGTCGCTACCCCCCCTTGTTCTGGCTGTTACACGGCAGCGTGTTCGCGGCGCCGTGCGGTGTGCTATGTGGAGGCGAAAAGGGGCGTCGTTTCATTTGCATGCACGGCGTTATTCTTTTTCCTTGCTTTCGGCCAACAACGATAATGGGGAGAGTAGACACGATGATAGTGGTGAGCAGCAGTTGCAAAAGGTATACGCGACAACTGCCTTCATGCTCGTTTAGCGTAGTTTGCTGCCTCTATTTTTCCAATCTCACTTCTACATAGTTAGTATACCTTTTTTGTCTTCATCTTTGTTCGAGCTCTGTGCGTTCTTTTATGCATTCTTGGAGTTATGTCTCTCCCGATTTTCGGTGTTCTCGGTTGCCATGTTAGTCACGATGGAGATGGAGTGGCGTAAAGTAGTACTGCAGGTAGCACTGCGGCAAGCTGTTCATGCAGTGAGAGGGCTTTACGATTTATTTGTGCATTGAGTGGGATATCAGGAGATAGGGAGCTCTGTCCTTTCTCCTCTTCTTTACCTGATCAAGTGTCACTCCACGTCCACCAAATATCCTCTATCGTTTGCCAAAGCCAAAAAAATATAAATCTGCTGGATGAATCAGTTGTATTCTCCAAAACGATGTTACTTTTCAGAAGAGACTCAAATCAAGCTACAAAGCAATACAACAGCCATGTTGAAACGGAGTTCAAGGTAGACATCCTCATCACCCTTTTGCCGTAGAAACCCAAAGTTCTTTCTCTAACATCCCAACCAGACCTCCCAAAAACTAACCTCAACCCCCTCCACCCCCCCTCCATCCTCCCAGTCCAAACCCCACCTCAGCTCCGGCGCAAAAGCCGGCATAATAACCGCCTGTATCATAGTCTTCATCCTGCTCTGCCTTCTCCTCCTCGAACTCACATATTTCGGGCGCCAGCGCCGTCTCGCGCGTGCGCGGCGCCAAGCCAACGCTGGTGGAGACGTCGAGCTCGATGGGGAGAGGAGCAACAAGGAGAATAGAGGTGCCGGACGGGCCAACGCCGCGGACGGGCCAACGCCGGATTACGTCCTCCAACACCAATTATTCCATCCACTTCAACCACCCATAACGTGACCACAATGCAATCAATTGACGCTGCGCTTGCTGCTATTAACGCTTTGAAGCCTAATGAAAAACTTGTGTATTCTCAAATTGCAAAAAAATATGGTGTTGACCCAGGAACGCTGAGCCGCCGCCACCGAGGTATTTCTCGCTCCAGACAAGCAGCTGCACAAAACCAGCAGGCAGTCCACCCACAACATGAAGCTGAGCTTATCGACTATATCGATAGACTCACTAAGCGAGGCCTAGCACCCACACGGAGTATCATTCGAAATATCGCGTCGCAGCTAGCTCAGAAGCAGCTCGGATATCACTGGGTTGATCGCTTTGTTCATCGTAACTCGCATCTCGTTATACTCAAGCGCACCACGCCAATCGATCGTAGCCGGCGCCGAGCTGAT